TAATATCATCATTCAAACAGGACGTTGCTGAAGGCTTGCCCCTGTTATGTCGTCTGTTTGTGTATCTTGTACGTATGCTTTTTGTTGTTTCCCCAGTCATGTAAAAGTTCTCCCAATCTCCTAATTCGGTAACTAGGTGGACCTTTTTAAGACCAATTTAAGATCTTTTTTTTCATCCAAGCACTATTTGCTCTATGGTCACGTGACTAAGAAATCTATTCGATCTGCTTTGCAGCAGGAGGTACTTTTCAAACAAAGCAAATAATAATATTAATAATAATTTTTTTATATAGTTATTGTTTGTCCTTGTCCCTTACCTGTCTCTTACACCACCATCTTCTAAAAAAGTTATAGCAGTTCTTACTGAGATTACTGATTGTGCTGCAAGATAAATGAACTTTTCTTAAAATTGAGCTTTCTCTAAAACCCAAAACCGGCCTGATATCCCCAAATAAATTTTCCAATGTATCCTGATTTTAGATTCTGGGTTTTAGTGATTTAATTTTTTTTGTTCTTTTAAATAACTCTACAAGGCATATGTAAGAAATTGCCAATCTCTAACTATTTCAAAATCCTTTGCCAATAGTACATGTGCAAACATTTTTTACTCAGCATACATTTTACTTATTTTCTAGTAGGTATAAAGTTTGTGCTTCTATTAAAGCTGTCGAGACATTCATCTACCTACTTGATGAACAAAAGTAGCTGTAACAATTCACTTAAAATTATTATAATCGAATTAAATTACCGGTTTTGAGCTTACATTAAATTGTAATTAGATGAAACAAAATAGATTCTATGTATTTTGAGGTGATCTTTTCGAAAAAAGGCAAAACAAAATGTAGCAATTTTTCGAAAGTGCCGAAATTTTGGATTTTGTCAATTTTTGAATTTTGCGCATGCGCATGTCGCGAATAAATTAATATTTTAAAACACAGTTTACGACATTTAAAATCTTAGAAAAAAATGCTAATTTTTATATCTCCTGAGAAATTTTGATACGATGCACCGTTATCGCGGTATGGACGATTGAAATTTGTTTAGTATTTTGAGGCGGCGAAGGTCGAAAAATTGAATTTGTTAAATGTTCAAACACTAAATTCTTCATAACTTTGGTAAAAATTAAGATATTTGAAGAATCAAAAATTCGTTTTGAACTTAAGAGATGTGACTATTGATTCCCAGAAGGGGGCAAGAGAAATTCCAAAATTGGACATATGGCGAAAGGGCAAAATGTACCGCAAGCCTAATTTCATTGTTTGCCTATAAGGCCAAACTATTTAAATTTTTTTAATTCCACTTATACAGCTAACTCTTAAAAACGAAATCTTTTAAATGTGTGAATTTTACCGAAATCGGATTATAATTGGCCAAGATATCAAACAATTTAACAAATTTTTTTACCTAAAAAAAAAACTAAATTTTTTTTCGAAAGTTTGAAGTGGCACATAAATGCCAAAAATGCACCCAATGACTCAAAACTTTTTTTTTGTTACTCTATTATGTCTAAAATACGATTACATTACGGAAAATTCTGCAAACATATTTTATCTATTTTTTTGACCACTCTTCATTGAGTGACGACCAAAAAACACGGTTTTTGAGAAAAGTTGCCTAAAATTAACGATTTTCAGTTTTTTGGTCTGAAAATTGAGCAAACCCAAATCTGATGTCTTCTGAATATTTATACAAAGTTTAAAGTGTGTATGTTTCTTCTAAGTTGTAGAATTCTCCCGACAAAAGTCCCATACACGCGCTCCGCGGGATCCAAAACTCGTGCATTTCTGTAATATGATTTTTTTGTGATTTCCAGTTTTAAATTTCTTACATACCTAAATTTATTAGGCCTAAAATTTATTAAATTGTATTTTACTGACTTGTTATAAGACGTTTCTTGAGTTTTGTGCAAAAAAAAGAATTACCGCAAAATTAGCCGGACGTCGTATCAAGGATAGCCATGGTCTCGGCGTTCGCTATCCGACAAGTTTAAACTTGAAACGGTCATATTATTACAAATTGAATCGGTTGATAGTGTTCATCGGCATAGATTTTTAATAACCGTGTTCAGCAAGCTCTGTGTACACGTGGTTTTCCGGACTTCTTCAGCAATTTATTGAGTAAGTACGTTCCTAAATTAAGAAAATTCTATCACAGTGCTATACTTTTTTTGTTTCCAGGTTGCAATAGCTGGCCTGTGTTTATTATGTCATCAGAAACTTGCAGAAGGTGAACTTACCCCAATTAGACCGACAGGATTGAAAGGTCAGCAAAGAGAGAGGGGATGATTTTTTCAGTTCTTTAGAACCAAGTTTTATATTGCATGAGAGGTGTCGCAAACATTACGTAGCTGGACGTTACGAAAAAGAGTTTATTTATAAAACCTGGGATTGGCATAAAAGGGCCGCGATTGACAATGCCAAAAAAAGAAGGATGGAGCATCAGCCGAGAAGAAAACCAGATGTTAGAGAACCAAAAACAATCTTATCACCAAGTTGGAGTTAGTTTCTTCAAATATATTTTTTGTTAGATGTTTTCGGAAAACCCGGAGAAAATCATGGGAAAAAAATTTAAAAAAATTTACGCCTTCCGGTTTCCTGCGAATTCCCGAAAAATTATGGCAGATTTCGCCGCGAGACTTATTATATTTGAGAGCCCACAAAAAAATACGCAACTTCTCTCATGGGCACATATGTCTAACATTTATAATTTCGCCACAAATTCATCGCAAATTTCATGTTCATGATTCTGATCAAAGAAACGAAAAAACAACTTTTTAGTAAAAGCACTTCTGGCGGCGAGAAATTCGCCATTAAAACTACCTGTGCAATGAAATTCCAAACTATTTTTGCCTCCTCTTTCGATTGGTGCATTTATTTTTACTATCAGAATGATACTTGCCCAGATAATTAGCATTTTTACCATGGAAAATTCCGGAAAAACCGGTTTTTCCTAATTTAAAAAAATTTGAAAAACAGCTACATTATTTTTTTCTTTTTTCAGAAAGATCACATCAAAATATAAAAGGTCCACTTTGTTTCATCCAATTATAAATTAATGTAAGCTCGAAGTGGCTTTTTTTCGTTATAGTCATTTTGTAATATAATATTAAATACAGACGTTATACAGTAGTTGTTGATTTTCTTAATACATTGGAAATTATCTAGAAAGTAATGTGTACAAAAACGATAAGACACTTGTTCTTAAAATATAAGCAGCTAGGTTGACCCATGGCATATTTCAGTTTTGGGTCCATATGATGTCCCTTTGTTTTATGAATGCTCCTATAAATTAACGAACACTTGGATTCTATGTCATAGTTCTTTCTGATTGCACTTAATTTTGCTTGCAATACAGCATATTGGTGCGAAGGAACTTTAATTTCAATATTTTGTTTTCTAAAGAGAGATGCTGTACATTTAAGTTCCTAAATGGGGTAGACAATATATTGGTTCCAGAAACTGCTTCATGCAAATACTAATATGCGAAAATAAACACTACCACTCCCCCCATCCCCCCTCCCCCAAACAAGTTAAACAACAAAATCAGGCTCACAGGAATAAACGGGGACACAAATTTAATTATTTTAATAAAATGCACACTTTCATAATCATAATATTCATAACACTCTCAGTTGTCAGTTCTAGTCTATACGTCACACGTGGCCAACGTCAAAAAACCAGCAATATCAGCGACCTCTTCCACTGGTTGGAGTTTTATTGAAGGATGATAAATATATGTACATATCAATGTAAAAGAGAAAGAAAATCATATATGCAATTTAAATGGACTACCGAACAAATTTTCCTATTAAGTTACACGTATCCTGGTATTATTAATATTTTTGAGAAACATGTATCGCTTGTGTTAAGAATTACCTGAAAGTTAATGAATTGACGTTCAGATATTAATTAGCTATTGTTAGAAGCAGATGGCATTTTAATAATAACCTACATGTTCTCAATTTGTCGGAATATTTTTTTTTATTTAAGTTCAATGATCATTCTATACCACGGTTTCCGATTTCTTTGATTCTTTGTTCGAAAGGGGAATCTCAGGGGAAGTCCCATATAAGTTTGCTCAAGATCTAATAATGGATCCTATGAGAAAATTATCAAACTTTTTAAATATTTTCAGCAATAATTCTTTACAACGTTGTTTAATTTCCAGGTTTCTTTTTTTTTGTTAGAGAAGGGATTCCTCAGGGGTGGTCTCATTACAATTGGTCAGGATTTGATGATGGAATCTATTAGAAAATAAAAAAAAAAAACTTTTAATGGCATGTGCACGGTTTTTTAAAATTACTTTTATATTAATTTCTACCTTATAATTTTTAATAGATAAATATGCAGATAAATAAGGTACCTATAATATGCCACAATATTTAAATAGTTCATATAAAAAATTGACTACTTCCTTCATTTACTTCTTTTTCCCGATTACTATCTGAATATACTATTTGAATTATTACATTTATTTTTTTTTTTAAATCATGATCACAATTTATAAATTCGTAAACTTTTTTGTATATATTAGCAGCAAAATATTCCACTTTGAATTTTTTAATTTCATTCACTGCAGCTTGAGTTCGAGGTTTTCAAGTTCTTAACGCCCCAGGCACTCCACTAAAATCTGTATTTAGAACAATGTAAAGACAGTTTCATCGATATGTTGTAGATCAATAATCTCTGAAGCACCTCTAAGTCAATTTATTGCCTACCTGAGGAGACTGACTTAATCAAATTTAACTAAGTGATAGAACTAATATTTTAAGTTATTTCTTAACTGCATAATAATTTTTTGTGCTTTTCAGCAACTGCCACCGCAATATCTCTGGTTTGCAGCGTTTTACTTTGTCTTTGTCTAGATCAATAATCTCTGAAGCACCTCTAAGTCAATTTATTGCCTACCTGAGGATACTGACTTAGTCAAATTTAACTAAGTGATAGAACTAATATTTTAAGTTATTTCTTAACTGCATAATAATTTTATGTATTTTTCAGCAACTGCTACCGCAATATCTCTAGTTTGGAGCGTTTTACTTTGTGGAGCTCCATGTGGTTGTGGAATTACATCTAGAACTATTACATTACTGTTACTAGGTAAGAATAAATTAAACACATATTAAAATAATTTCTCTTTAAATATAGTTGGAGCTGTTTTGAGCGTATAAGCTGAGATTTTCTTGCTGGAAAAAATAGGTCGACTTATATGCTTATAAGCGAAACTTAATTTGTTATGGCTTAATTCTAAATATCTAGAAAGGTAATAGTTAGTTATGCAACAAGTGCAAAAAGTAAGTTTTTATTACACGCGACGTGAAATTGTCGAGTGCAATAAACACTTTTTGCACGAGTTGCATACAATATTTTTTCTACGTTCGTGCAAAAACCAAAAAATGTTTTATAGAATTGCAGTTGTATTAAACAAATCAAAGTAGCCGTGATCATGTATCTTTGTTTGAGGCATTTATTTACGTTTGTATTCATAATTTATAATGACATTTTTATTAAAATACATTTTTTTATTAATTTATTAATTAAATGATTAAAAATAATATAAAATATGCAATTGTTTTTAAAACACAGAAAATGACTAAATGGACTAAATATTTGGCGTTGATTTGAATATTCATGTTTGTCATGATCATAAAACGCTGTAGTAAAATGACTGATGAGTGCAATAAAATTTTTAATGCACTAGTGCAATAAAGACCCAGTTTTTTCACTAAATATAGTTCAATAAAGTTTTGTTTTTGGCATGAACGTAGAAAAATATTTTTACTATTTTGTATTCAATTGGTCAATATTTTTCTAATAATATATCACTGACAAAAACTTTTTGGTGCTACACCAGATGCGCTAGTCGGTTTTTATGTCCAGTTAAATATCGGTTACAAAGGGGTTCAGAAAGTATCATTATTTCTATTATGAATGTTGCACAGCCAAAAATATAACTCTCAAATACAATTTAACTGGTCATACATATATTGTCGATGCAGGCCTTCATGGAAAAATTGAGCAATACAAAACAGTTGTAAATGTTGAAGATTTCAACGATATTGTTGAGGTCTGTAATAAAATAGCCAGTCTACAGATTTAATGTAGTCGGCAACGTCGTCTTGAGGTACTTCGCTTTTATCAGCAATTGTTCGCACATATTATAGAAGTTGAGATATTTCGTACTTGGCAATGACCAGTCGGATTGCCTGTGATCAGACGCAAACTCTGTTATATTCCAGTCTGTTTCTGCCGCATTGTTGTCGAGATAATTTAAGCTCCCTGGTTACTCTACAGTTTCTTGTTTCATTCTATATTTCCTTAAATTTTACAATGTTCTATGATTAGGTTTGTCACTACCAATGTTGTCAGTCCAATGGAAGGACTAGGTTCAAAAAGTAATTGGTTGGGTGCCTTCTTTGTTAGTGAATCAGCAATACAGTTACCTCTTGATGCGACGTGACCTTGATCCATCTTATGGTGACCACATCGTTGATGGATATACTTCAAACAAAGCTTCATGACATTCTAGTACCAACCGTGAGTAAATTTGTGGTCTGTGTAAGGCTCGGTCTAGAGTGAGTAGTGCTTGTCTGAAATTTGTATAAATGAGCATGTTCCTTCCAGTGATATTGTTTCTGGTAACCTCTTTTGCTGCTATAATAATCCCTGTGAGCTCCGTTTGAACTATTGCTGATTTTGTGTTTTGTTTTAAGGACATAGAGTATATTCCACATCCTGAGCCTTGTTTTGTTTTAGAACGGTCGGTTTAGATATGAATCGTACCACTTCCGGCTCTTCTATTTTTTCCGTTATGACTTGATATGACTTATGGAAGATGTATCTCGGTGAGATGGAGTCCATGTGCCCTTAAAACAGTGCTCTTAAAACAGTGGACGCGCCTCACCAAAAAAACGACGTATCACCTCACCAGATCCTGCATTAGGTTCTATTCCAACCGTGAGCCTAAGAATTACCTCCATGGCTCTGGTTGGTGTCGTTTTCATGGCTCCTGTTATGTTGAGATATGCTGGTCTTTGAATTTGTTTTAATTTGTGGATGGATCTTATGATGGCCGGTGTAAGTCCATGTTATAATGCTGGAGTTTTAATAAGAATTTAAATTTAATTTAAAGTTGTCTTCTCGCTCCCTAGAGTCGAAAAAATAATTTAGGTCTTGGATTACTTTATTATACTGTATTTAAATAATAATTTTGAAATTCTTGAGTCGTAAATGGATATGCAGTCATTTAGCTAAGTAATAACGGCATACCCTCAAGCCTTTTAGTAAATACAAGTGAAGTGGAAGTGTCATAGGTATTTTTATTGTTCTGAGTGAGATTTTGCTATTTTTTTTTTCAGTTCATCTAATGCGGAATTTTTTAAGCTATACGATGTATTCAAAAACAATTTTTTTTTTTTCGAGAAACAGCGTTTTGGTTTGTATTTGTTAATAGCAGTGCGTCTTTGAGATTTATATGTAAGACCTATCTTACCTATTTTCCAAACATCTGGAAAGACTGATGTATTTATTAATAAATTAAGAAGCAAATAAATTAATACTTATTATACTTAATTAATTACTTAATACTTAATACATGGTCAAAGCAGAGGTTTACAATTATTTACAGAACTTATAGTTCACTGGATGGGTTTTAGTAAAACTTTGGCAGCGTATAGTAAAATGTTTAATGATTGCAATGAGACATTTTCATTTGTCCTGCTAATTATTAAATAATATTAAAAAATATAAAGAAGTGATAGTCACAGATGCATTTAGAAAACTTTACAGCATTCTACATTTTTTTTTTTTTGAATATTCTTGCCAAATTTTAATAATCAATCTTGCGTACTTTTTATGTAAAATTTATAATTTTGCTGCGTCCATATTGAATTTTAGTTCAGGACCTAAGTTATAGGTGTCTGATGGAGCAAAAGTAACGAAAGTGCCGACGCCGTGTTGCCATATCTTAAAATTGTCTTGAATTTAGAGGAAAATATATTATTATGTATATTTACAATCAACACAAATAAAAATTATATATATACAGGGAGACTTATTTTTTATCGTTTTCTTAATGATGAATTTTTAATAAAATTTGATGCCTTGTCTATAATCAACTACTAAATTAAATGTAATTTAAAATAAATGCTTTTAAACGACGGAAATCAAAAATGCACTCAAGAGTAAAGTGCCCTTATTTACACTTTGCTAATTGAATACACTCATATAAAGTCACAAAATACTTATTTAAAACCCGTATGAAAAGATTTGTAAAAAAATTGGTTAAGGATGTAATTTTTAAATGTATGCTGAGTTTTTTTATCTAAATACAGTATGAATTTCATGGTGGAAAAATACAGGTGAAGCGGTTAGCAGTACGAAATTCGGTCAGTCCTGCGCATGACGTCACTTTCGAAGCAGTTTGTATTATGCCTATGTCTTCAATATTAAAAAGCAAGTTTTTAGGTTATTTTAATATTATTCTGATAGTGCTTAGAACTTTATAGATATATTTATCTTAAAATTTAATATTATTTCTGTATATCAAGATGTCTTTTTAGTAATTATTGGTACGTATTATTCAATTAATTTCTAATTAAATTGATAGTGTAATTGATATTAAGTTAGGTCATGTCATATTTTTGCTGTATTTTAAAGATAAAAAAAAATATTTTCTGGTTATTATTATTATTATATTATTTGTACATTAAAATCTATTATTTTAGGAAGTGTAGTTAATAGCAAAACGCCAGGTTGTGCAGTGTTTGGCTACAATAACCTTTCGCGAAAAACGTAGGAAATAAACACTAACAGCCGTATGCATAGTCGATCGCCAGCGACTCGCCAGAGATTCATTTCGGCGTATCGCCAGCGATTCGCTGGCGATCCGCCGGCGAAAGCCCAAGAAGGTGGCGACTCGCCGGAGATTGTCACCTGAATGTCATTTCACGCAAGTTTTTATTTTCTTTTATAGGGATTATCACCGGTATCTCTCGCATTTTATTCATGATTCATTTCTTAAAACTCAAAAAATAATGAACGAATATCAAATTTTTTCCCTATAAAAGAACATGAAAACTTGCGTGAAATGACATTCCGGTGACAATCTACGGCGAGTCGCCAGCTTTTTGGGCTTTCGCCGGCGGATCGCCAGCGAATCGTGGCGATACGCCGAAATGAATCTCTGGCGAGTCGCTGGCGATCGACTATGCATACGGCTGTAAGTGTTTGGTTCCGAAAACAGACGTAGTCATAGCTTAGATTAACGCTTTCAGGAGAAAAAATACAAATAACCTGAAAAATGGTATGGTTTTTGCAAAACTAATTTGAATTGCCTTAATAGCACAGTATCGTTAAACGAATGTTCCAGAAACATACACTTCGGACATTAGGAACGTCTCTGTCATATTTATCATTCTCCCTCAAACATACCTGGGATGTTTCTATTTATAAAAATAAAAACAAAGCAATATTAAATAAGGTTTTGACTTGACAGAAATTTTAGAAAATAAAAATATTAATTTTATGAGTAATGGCTGTTTGTGTTGATTCAGTTCCAACCAAAGCTCCTTGCGGTGACCATTACCTTCGATCAGGCACTAGATTATCTATTAATAAAAATAATTTTTATTGCCTGATTAATTTTAGTTGAATCTCCAAGGATAAGTGATGGTCACCGCAAGGAGCTTCGGTTGAAACTGGATCAATACAAACAGCCATTACTTTTAAAATTATTATTTTTTTTTTTTCTAAAATTTTTGTTAAGTCGAAACCTTATTAATGATGCTATATATGTTTTTACTTTTATAAAATAAAATAATTTACTGGAAAAAAAATTATTTATAATTGTCATTTTCTCATGTTTCTGACTACACCTAACCCCTTAAGTTAAAATAATTACCCATAATGGCTTTAGCTACTTTTAATTTGGAGTCTTCCTTTTCCAGTGAATTAAAATAACTTACACAACTCGTTCCTTGAGGGGAGCTATGCATCTTCTGATAAATTCACACTGTAACGTGATACTTGATATTTTATCAATTTGTTATAATGTGTTTAAGCTCAATTGATTGGGCGTGGATTAGGTTATTAAATAACTC